TTTCTAGCGTTTATCTTCGCGCGATAGGTCGAGCTGGAACCTATCCCGGCTGTCTTTGGGTTTGACGCAGTACATTGAGACGGGTCGTCGGCTAATTGCACAAATAGACAGACAAATAACCATTTTCTCACATTCTTATGGTCAATATGGAGTCATCAATTCACCTATTTTGAGTCCTTTTGGAATGTGGGAGAAAGCCAGTACAGGAGAAAACAAATGCAAGAAGAAGGGCAGGTGCTCAGATTTGAACCCGCATTATATCATTTTGCATATAACGATTTGACATTTTGGTAGATTTTAGCGAGAATCCTGGAAATTGATGCACACGATTTGCTTTTGCGGGTCACATAAAATGATGTTTTGTAACGGATATGGCCGCCAAGCCTGAGTTTGACACATTTTCTTGTGAAAAGCTAGGCCCACCAGGTAAAAATTCTCTGGGAAACGTAAACCGAACCTCTGTCAGTCACAATTCACGATACTGAGATCATTTTCGCTGAATGTTCGATGCAAACAGTGAAGTTCGTTCTTTCGGGGGCTTTGATTTTTCCATACGTTGAGATCATAGCATAAAACGCGCAGCAATAACTGTTTTCAGCGAAAAAATAACAGAAGTTGTCAAGAACATTGGCAACGTAAAATGGTTGCGTTCTGACTTCAGCCGCGTTGTGCCAATCGATGGTCCATTCATATATAAACCCGAGCAGCACTACTTCCTGAATTAGACAACTCTACTCTCGCGATGTTAGCCATAACGTCATTCCATGATGGCTGAAGATCCTGGCGGGGTAATTTTCAATATCTCTCTCATTCTTTTTTCTTTTTCTGAATCCCAGCTTGCCATAGAGCCATGGCTGGATTCACAGCCACGTTAAGCGTCCACAGAACATTAGTGTCGACATGCCCAAGAAAGGGAACCGAAAACGGCTGAAATTTCGGGCTGGGGACGTTTGCTCGGAATCAGGTCGGTCGAGTTTGTGTTCACTTTTCCATTAGCCAACAAGCTAGCTGTTCCCCTGGTTCATAAAGAAATTATGGCGTGACAGCTTCAGTACGTTCTAAAACCATCAATTAATTATATTAATAATATAAAATACCATATCTCTTCCATACCGCCCTAGGTTTCAAATAGCTCGCAGGTTAAATATAAGCCAGAGGTCTTGTGCATGTTCTCTTTAAGATAAGTGCTGCATGACCATGCACTTCTTTCCCCACTTCAGTGACTGTGGCTGATTACGCTGATGCCGATCCGGCCGTTGTGAAGTCTGGTAGGGTGAAAAAGGCTGTTGCAAATGCAGTTGAAAAAGAAGGTAATTCAACAATGACTGCTGCACACAATTTCTAAAGGGTTTTGTGTCTGAACTGATTAGCTTGAGCGCTTTACCTTTCAGTCAAATTATTATGTGGCCTGGAAGCATCTCAGGGTACTGTAGAAGAGGTTCTTTCCTCTGCTGGGACCGTCAAAATAGATGGTTTGGACAGCAGTGATGACCTAGACGCAGAAGAAGATGGCGACAGTGACACTAAAGTGATCCACAAGAAGAAGAACAAGAGGAGAAAGGGTATGATATGGCAGCGTTGATGAAGAAAAAAGTGACAAGCAGCTTTGTTTTAAATAAATACAATTTGTGTCCTTCTAGAGAGCAGTGAGAGCAGTGACGGACAGGAGTATCCAGTGGACATCTGGCTTGTGCTTTCTTCTTATATTCGACCAGAAGACGTTTGCAGATTCTCACTAATCTGTAGAAATGCATGGACGGTCACATGCACTGCAGTTTTTTGGACCAGGCTATACAGAAGGTGAGTTTAATTTTACCCCATCAATTTTATATCACGCATTCGCTTTTTAAAGTGTCTGATTGTTATTGAGGTTGGCCCAAAAAGTGTTTCCAAAATAGTGGTTGCATTGCGGTTCAAGTATAACATACTTGATATGTATTTTTTTTTACTCCCTCCCATCATTTCTCCCATTCAAAGGCATTACAGGAACGATGTTGACCTGCCGTTTCGTCTGCAGCCTGATTGCATTGACAGGATGTGCAGTCTCAGGGCCCGTGTGATTCGCTCCCTTTTCCATTTGTACGAGCCGTTCAGCTCACGTGTCTCCAAAATTCCAACCATGCCAGAATCTACACCCACAACTTTGCTCAATTCCAAGGTAAACTACTCTGTCACCTTGCTCTCAGACACGATTAAGACTTTTTTTCCTACAGATGTTTCAGTTTCTGTTTATAGTTCAACTGGATATTTTTTGTGCTCAATCTCTTATAATGGCAATCATCAACAATATTGTTTTGTGAGTTGTTGGTTCGACTGTGGAAGCAAAGAACAATCATAATAATAATAATACATTTTATTTATAAGCGCCTTTCAAAATACCCAAGGACACTTTACAATCAAAAGAGCAATAAAACCACAGATAAAATTATAAAAATGTGTTCGGGGTGATCAGCGGCAGCCAGACAACGCCAGCGTTCACTCAACCCGGACAAGGCTTGGCATGGACAGTATCTTGTTAAAGTGAATGTCTGACTTTTTCTTCTGCAGTGTTTATTGTTCTGGATAAAAAAGGTGACTGGGACTCGACCAGAAGGATTGTGGGAGTTCAACTTCAAGTTTTTAAAGCAGGTAGTTGTCTTTTTCCAAAACAGCTACTACACTGATGCTTAACAGTTTACCTAATCATCATTTTTGCTCCTGAGCAGGGAAACACGAAGAACGGACATGCAAAGTCCTTGCGGATGCCCCAACAGTATGAAGAGGTCCACACAAATTCGGACTCTGACTGTTACATGCTTCAAGTGTCAACGTTCAACTTCATCTTCACCCCCGTGGTCATGGGCATGACGCTTACCCTGGTTGGTCTGATAATCTCTCCGTTTTTACACTTACTGTAAGATTTCGATTTTGCAGTTGCCATTTGAACATGGGAAGAACATGACATTTATCTTGATCATTTATTATGATTTCTTTGATGGTCATTGCTCTCTGTGCTGTCGTTGTAGTTCACCATCAACGTCAGCACGGACATGCGCCATCACCGCGTTCGTCTCGTGTTCCAGGACTCACCGATCCAAAGAGGGAAGAAAAGAGGCGATCATGGCGGCACACAGGTTGTGCTGGATCCTGTGCACAGTGTGAGGCTTGTGGACTGGTGGCATCCGCAGTACCCTTTGTCCCAGTAAACATAAATGGCTCGCTCTAACTGCGACTACTGCAGAGCGTCACACCCAGAATCCTCACCGTTTGCTTGCTGCTCGGCCAAGAGAAATTTGTTCCAACCTCCTGACTTACACGGACTGAGCATTTATCGGTCGATAAAGATGGCCTTCCCAAAACTCACTTCAAATCGATCACTGCTGGGTCGTGCAGAAAGTCACAAAAGATAACGTGAGAGGGATACAAAGTCCTCCCTCCGCTGCCTGCTTTCGCCAGTTTTTTTTAAATAAATAATCATAATACATGGCCACTTGATGACCGCTTCAGGAAATTCTGTTATGTTAATGCATGCACAAAATGTTTTTTAAACCATAAAAACCGTCCCCATCCACATCCTCATAGTAATAACCGTATTTTGATTTAATCAGATAATTTAATCATAAACTCCTAATGTATTGTGTGATAAGTGGACAGTGAGAACATTTACATCGCTGTTTATCTATTCATGTTTCTTCGCTTTTCACACACAGAAAAAAAACAAATTTGACTTTGTGTGAATTGAATCCCTTCCTTCCACCACTGTAATAACTGCCCTTGTGTTAAGCGTATTGAATGTCAAATCATACATGGCTCTGCTGTACTTGATCATAATGTGCAGTGGAGGGAAGACGCTACCTCAGAAAAGGATTCAATCTGAATTGTTTAGCAGCTTTAATAAAACGTGGCATCTCTTCATCTGTTAATGTGCTGTGAAGACTCATAGAGACAAACATTTGGTAGATGCCAGTTGAGTGTTTTAGTTGGGGATCAACTATTTACTCGAACATTAATTGTCTTGAAATGAATAAAAAAAGAAAATGACCCTTTGAATGCCATACTGACTGTAGTTTGTTTGAAACAGTACACTTCCCTCATGTGGTGACACGTGGTATTGTGATCACATCTGATTTCCCTGATAATTTCATTTCATTTATTTATTCATTTCAGCCAGCGGTCAACATAAACAAAACAACCAAAACACAAAAAGAAAAGAACATTTTCCAGTTCCCAGCAGCCAGACACACCTAATGGTTATCAGTATGGTATGTGCTTTACCCAACAATTGTTACACCATGGTCTGCTGAATTTAAAAACATATTTGTAAGTAGTACATATAACACACTACTTGTACACTACTTGAAAAGCTTGGGACTCTTTAGAAATGTCCAATGTTTTGAAATAACAGTATATACGGTACCAGGACATAATTAGAACTATCAATCCACCAAAGTCAATAAGTTCATACATGTGTGCATGCATGTATGTATAGAGATTATAGCATACAATACATGTGTGCATGCATGTATGTATAGAGATTATACACATAGAGAGGGCCATTAGGGGAGAAATATACAGTGGATATATGAATACACACACATATTTCAACTCACGAAATTGTCAAGGTGACCTGACCCCAAACTTTCTCACAATGGTGTACCGTATACCATTACAAATTTCTGACCACTAAACAAAGACCTTTTATTAACCAATTCAAGCTGATATAAGTCATCCAGTAATGTCAGGATCCTACAGTCCATTGTTCTAAAACCTGTGTGGGAACCTTAGTCCTACCAGGGCCCATATCAGTTTTTAGAAAGACGGATGGAACAGTCTTGATTATATAACATTGGCAGCGCCTAAAATTGCAGCTATAAATAAACAAAGTTGCCTCTTTGCTTTTGGTCTTGTTGGATGACCTGTTCCCTCCTTCCGTTGACAATTCTCACGTCACTGTCTAATTATAGTCCCGGCTGCTTGCGCGTGAGAACTACATTACCCACAAGCCCGCGCGAGCCCGATGCCAGTGGTGACGGTACAGGTGACAGTCGACGCGCCGAGAGGCCGCCACGGCTAGACTGGCAAAACATTGCACGCTGCGTAGCGACATGTGCTAGTGGCGAAAGACGTAATCTTTTTTGGGGCGTTTACTTGATCAAACTCAGCACTTTTTTTTTTCAGTGCTAGAGGTTGTTGCTGGTTCCTCCCTGGGGAGTGCACCAGAGAAGTTGTCGCCAAGCTACTCTTAACTGCGTTCTGTCTGACCTTCAGAGCTGGTAAGCGTGACGTTTCAACAAAACTTCACTTTTAAAACAACGCCGGCGTAAATCAGGCAAAGCGTATTTCAACTTTGAATGGATTATTTTATTAATGTATGTATTTATTTGTGTGTGTGTGTGTGTGTGTGTGTGTGTGTGTGTGTGTGCGGGCGGGGGGGGGGTTACGTTTGTATTTAAAACATGTTATTTGTGCTTATAAAAGGCAGATACGTTCAAGAACTTTAAGATGCTTTGCAGTCTCATACATTTCAGATCAGTCAAACGAATTAAAATGGTGTTTTTAATTTTTAAATGTGTCATAATAGTCTGTTATTGTAAGCTTCTTATTGAAAACGTTGAGAGGCTCTTTGATTCAGCTCTCGATCGAGATTTTGTCATTTGAAAATGCACGACTTGTTCCTTTTCTCACTGAGCGTCAGCCGCTTGCCATTTCTCAGCTGAAGCCAGGCCAGTATCAGTAACAACACCTCAGCCCCAGGCTGTGTTGCTATGTATAAGCTGTGACTACATAAGTTATATTGCCTGCTCAAATACTTTGGCTTACAGTTAATTGCACACTGCCAACATAATTTGTTGAAGGTACCACAAAGTATGTATTCTCTTTGCTCTCAGGCTTAAATCATTCAACCATTGGTTTACTATTAGTGGGGATATAATTTGTCATACCGGTTGGTATCACTGTTACAAAAAAATGAGTAAAAAATGTGATACAAGGAATATGATTTTTAAAAAAGCAGTCCAGTAATAAGGATAGTTAATGTGATGCATTCCCATAGTATTTCTTGGTGGTCTAACTTTACCCCCTTTCGACAACTCCTCATTACCCCCACCCCACTTGATTCAAAAGTACCGGTATCCATATTGTGCTGTTGTTCATCATGTTTAATAATCCAATCTTTTCAAAATACCACCTGTCCCCGTCACTCTTTGCTTCATGGGTGGTCTCTCTTCTTTTGTGGGAACATGCAATTAGACCTGCTCAAAAGTGAATGCAAATTAGGTACTTAATGTAATTTCTCAAATAGTCATCTTTGCTGTAATAGACAACATGCCTTAATTAATGTGCCGGTGTTGTCCACTTAATTAAACAAACTAGAGATGTCACAGTTAACCAATTAATCAATTAAGGGTGGCAATGGATTTTGGAGCCCCCAAAAAAAGTCTTATTGCGTCTGATTGTCCTTGCTCTGCATCTCTGTGGTGCCTTGTTGAGGGCAACAGGTCAAATAGGTCACTGCCAGGGTGAGAGCTGTCCTGATGCTTTTTGCTCGGCTGAGGCAGCGTAAGGCCGACGCTCTGCTTTACTGCCTAGACTTAAATAGTAGGAAAGTAGCATCTTCTAACATTTGTACAAATGAGCTGCTCTCAATTATACTCTCTCCCTTCAAATAAACACCTGGGACTACTACTAATCGAGCAAATCTGTTACCGTATGAGGATTTGAGCTTTTAATTTCTTTGAGTGTTTTTGTATTGCCAATCTGGTCATACTGAAAAGTGTTCCGAATACAGTGGTGCCTTGAGATATGAGTTACTTCTTTTTAAAATGAGCTTTTCAAAATACGAGGCGCCATTCAGCCATCTTTGTGCTTTGACTTCTAAGTGCAAATTTAAGCGTTGTACATAGTGGCAATGAACTCAATTCAACCCACTTCACAATAAGCAGCACTTTGACAAATATTTGAACAACTCATTAAAAAAAAGAGGCTTCAAGCCGTTTAATGCCACACCCAGTTGAAGTGTCAAACTAACTATGAAACAAATTACACAATTTGTATAAAATTACCACATAGCTTTGACATGTGAAAGCCCACTTAGTTTAATGCTAACAAACAATGCTAAAGGCCATTGACATGCTAACCTTTAGCGTTGACACCGGAGTCACGTTTTTAGGAGCATCGGATACATGTAGACAGACAATACAAGAATATTCACAGGTGTATCTTTTTAATCTGCTGCAACACAAATGTCTATTATTACAGCCTCCCGGTAGCCAAGGCAAGCACACCAGAAGGAGCAGCACAATGAATTAGAATGCAGCATGAAATCATGTTGCCCCAACGATTGAACTTTTCAAAATTCTCTTTGATTACCAAAATACAATATCATAGAGTGCCATTGTTTATTTAAAAACATGACCACAAAACTGATTTGTTGTTGGGGCGGCTGGAAAGTATTAATCGAAGTTTCCATTATTTTCAATGGAGAAAGATAATTTGAAAAGTGTTCATGGAACAATTGAAACTCAAATCTCAGAGCACCGCTGTACTTATTTACTATTATTCTGAAGAAATTGCGTTTCAGCAACATAAATCTGGTCGTCAGTCTAATTCTTTAATTTGCAAGTTATTTGTCAAACGCCATTTAAGATTCCTCGATGATGACATCAAACCCTTTGCGGCCTCTTAAAATTTGGACTAGATTTTCTCACTCCCTCTCGCTTCCAAAACCTCTGCAGCTCACAAACTGAGACAGATGTAGACGGACGTTGCAAAGTACGCACAGTGAGAGGAGTCAGGGGTAGGTAAACAAACTCACTCAACAGTGTGGTCACTGTCAGCCAGGTGTGAGGTTGATTCGTATATTGAGCAGCTATAAAAGCACCACATTACTTTCATCGAATTCTCACTGCGTTCTGTGGCCCGGTATCGGTCTGCAAGGCACTTGGTCCACCCCACTGTACTGTATCATTGTCACGCATTGGTTCACATTGTGACCCATGTAAAGAGTGTACAAACTCGGGCAAGCGTGTGTGCAATCCATGTTGAAAAGTGTGCGAGTGGTCCTATTTCAGCCTCATTGGGCTTGTGTTTGCCTATACGTGTTGGTGATGGGGCTAATTTTCCTCAAGTAAACAGAAGCGTCCGTGCAAACACACAGAAGCCAGCTTGGTCCGATGTACTCCAGTGTGAAAGCGCACTAGGTGTGTGTAAATACAACTTCAGCAGCCATATGGATAGGGGCTGGTTTTTGTTTTTTTGTTTTGTTTTTGTTTTTTTTGCTTCGTGACTGGGCCAGGAAGCGCCTGCGTGATTTACTGGATTTTACTTAAAGAAGAGAGATTTAAAAAAAAAAAAAAAAAAGCACACAGAAAATGTCACGTAACGGTGCTTCTTAGAAACCAGTGGAATGACAGCTTGGCATGTGATATTTGATGACCCATGATCTAGAAGAGGTGAGTGTGGGTGGGATATTTTGGGGCATGTGCTGAATGTGTGACTCCACTTCCCCATCTGTGCTCATTTCTACTGTCTCATATCCTCTTTTGACTTGCAGACTGTAGCCTCTCTTACACAACCAGTTGTTTTTTTTTGTTTTGTTTTTTGAGAGAGAGAGAGACAAAAACACAAAAGCGGTTGGCCTGGTTTTTGGATGAACCGCAAGGGTCGTCTGTGATTTGTGTTTGGGGCTGTCTTCCATTGAATAAAAGGACCAGAACAACTTTTGGAGAACTGTACTTCTACTTACACTGAACATTATTATCTCTAAATTCCATATATGCTACCTTACCACTGCGTGTTTCCTCAAACAAGTATAGGGGGGGGGGGTAACAATCCCCCTGTTATTTTAGACCACAGGTGTTTGTGTTTCAGACTAACAGTGGCAAAACATTCAAAGAAAGTCTCTCCTTGACAGCATTCAGCAGAATCAGCTCTTTTAAAACGGTCTACCGATGATTCATGGGTATGTGTCGCTCGGTCAGGAAATATATGGATTTCACTCAGACGCCCCAGACTAAGCCAAGCAATTTCCACCCTATCGATTGAGATGACAACACAAAGGAAATATTCATCGGAAGCCATCACTTGCGACACATTTCCGAAAACACCCCGTATTGATGTCATAATTAGAATGACCATCACCTTTGGTCTATTACCAAAAAGCTGATAAAACCATTTCTGGAAACGGTGATCATGGATCACCTGTTAGTAATTCTCAAAACAGTAACGACGTGAATGAATAATTCAGTGATTTAAAAATGCTTCCCGTCAACTGCAGAAACACCCATGCTTGCAAAGCTTTGGAATCTGTGATTAGCACAGCCACATTATTCCAAGTTATTTGTTTCTCAATGGTTCAAGGGGGCTTCCACTGTCTTTCTATTAAATGGCTATTAGCGCGCACCGCATTTAGCAACAAAGCAGCCCGGAGTGACTGGCATTAATTTCGTGTGACCCTTATCTGGCAACTGAGCTCATAAATACCTCCCATTCCATTTCGCTGCGCATGGTGACTTTCAGCCATGCAGAGAGAAATGCTGCAGGGCGGCTTCGCAGGTTCTTGGACGTGGTCTCTTTCTGACGCAAGCTCATTTCTAGTTCTCCATTTGTTTACATTGCGTTAATAATGGACACTAAATATGTTCTGAAGGGAAGAATATTTTTGGGCTATAAACATCAAGAGGTTTGGCCACTTTCTTGTGACTTGAATTGACCCTTTTTCGCTATGTTCTTGTTTGTGCTGTAACCGCCAATTAATTTAGAGTTTATATATATATATATAATTTTTTTTAAATATCACAACAGTTAATCCATCAATAAATCCTGATGGTGTAAGTGAAATTGCCCAGGGTAAGAATTGAAGAAACCCATTTCAACTGTACAGTGGTACCTCTACATACGAACATCTCGTCATACGAAAATTTCAAGTTACAAAACGCCTCAGCAGGAAAATATTGCCTCTAGTTACGAAAGAAATTTCAAAATACGAAAGGTAAAAATACAGTATGGGTTGCTCCTCACAGCTCCAAGTTTCCTGAACGCAACATACTTATAGCTATTCTGCCATTGGCTATTCCCGAGCATCATCCTGGCATCCCATTGGCTAAGATGAACCTCTATCATATACGTCACTGTGTGTGGATAGATAGATATTTGTCTATGCAGCTTCCTCGTCATTTGCCCCTCAGGCCAGTCCGATAGTTTTACGTAAATGTGAACCACCCAGTTGGGCGATCGCTCACTATGCTGACGTTTGCCTTGGACATTTTCGAAGGAT